ACTGTGGATTCATTAATATTCGTTGGATACCAATTTTCGTGGATTTCGTGGGTATAGGAGAACCACGAATTTAAATGTTCAACGAATTACAAATGTTCTAAGGGAATGTATGCAGACTTTGCCAAAACCACGAAATTAAATATCCACGAATATGCTATTTTTCCTCAAACCACGAAAATTGGTACCCACGAAAATAAATGAATCCACAGTATTACTTATAAATGGACTTAGTTTTTCTTCCAGTTAAAGGGGCCTCAGTGGCTGAGTGGCCTAAGTAGTTACTACTGTAATCACTATAGCCAGTCAACACTGAGGTTGTGAGTTCGAACCCCGCTCGTGCGGGTGCACTTGACTCCAATCTTAATTGACTAGGATTGTCAGTTTTCCTATCGAAGGTCGGTGGTTTTCTCCAGGCACTCCGGCTTCCTCCACCAATAAAAACTGGCCGCCACGAAATAGCCCAAAAGCGGTGCTTAAAAGTGGCGTTAAAACACCAAAAATCAAATCAGATCTTCCAGTTAACATTACATACAGTCTGTAGTTAAAGTTTTTTAAAACATTTATTAGATTCATAAACCATTCTGGATTTTTACCAAACGTGGACAGAAGCTTTTTACAATCAAAAGATAGTATCTATAAGAAAATTTTTAATAATTTTTTCCCCATTTTTGTTGAGCCTGTGACTAGCAGCAAAAGTAGTCGAGACACTGGGTTCCGGGGAACCCTTACGAATTTTTTAAATGACTCAATATTCTGTATTCATCATTGGGACATGTAGGTAAAGTAGGTCCTTTTGATCTTGGATTTTTATATGGATTTTGACAGCACTTAGCATATAGTTCTAAATTATAAATGATCTTTGCTTCTAAAGTGGATTCTGACAACACATTGCATATAGTCACCAAGTATAGTTGATCTTGGGTTCTCATATGGATTCTGACAGTACTTTGATTATACATGTAGTTCCAAGTATTGTTGATCTCGGATTCCAATGTTGTTCCTAAGTTTCAACACTTTACATATAGTTCCCAATTGCAAGAAAAGATGATCTTGGCTTCTCATGTAAATTAGGTCAGTACTTTGCCAATAGTTTCCAAGTGAAGTTGAACATTTCAGAACATTTTACAACGTTAACAAATCACTACTTCCTCTTACATGTACTTGAAGCCTGAAATTAAATGTCAGAGTAATTATGTCAGAAAATCAACCATGATTGACATTTAAATGCATAATGTAATTCATCTTTAAATAAATTGCTTCGCCAAGCGCAGCTGGATACGACCGCAGAGGTCCAACCCTGAACAGTTGGGGCAAAAATGGACACAATATTTGCGCTTGATACAGGTCTGAATTTGGATGGTAATTAAATATTTGACACATAATAGGTTTCTGACACAGAATAACTGTAGTCAAAAAACTTAGAATTGGTTATATGATTTGAATTTATATTCAATTTTTTGCTTTTGTGCAATACACTATGCTGTTGCATATTGACCAAATTTTAATTGGCTAAAATTAATATTCCTTAATAGTAACTTCTTAAAATAGATTGACAGCTACGTAATCATCTCAAGACAATACAACATTTTTTTATACATAATTTAAAAGCAGTGTAAGGGAGGTAATCCAAACGTGTTTGGATTACCTCCCTTGCACTGCTTTTAAATTGTCTTAAGTAATTGTCCTTTACCCAGGAAACCCTTGTTTTTCCCCCTTTTTTGCCCCTAATTCCTAAACGGTTTGAGCCATAACCCCCCAAAGAAAATCCTAACCATCCCTTTGTGGTATGGAAACTTGTGGTATAATTACAGAGAGATCCATACACCGTTTCACAAGTTATTGTCTGGAAACTAGAAAAATGCTTATTTAGGCCCCTTTTTGGCCCCTAATTCCTAAACTGGGGACAAGTAATTTCTGTCTTAAATTCTGAAATGCAGCTGAGCTACATTTGTACTCCTCGTCAACCAAATTATGTTGAGGTTACTTGTACCCTGTTTGAAATATGGGATTCACAAATTTTGTATTTAAAAATACTAAGCACAAAACAATATTGAATTTGGAGTTTGGAAAATTAACCTTCAACTCAAATGTATGTGTTATTTGGTAAACTAAATAAGCCCTATGTTTGAACCTTGATACTGGACCTTATGAAACTTTTTAATTTATACCAGAGGGGTGGGGGGTGGGGGTTAAATTGTAAACAAATTATGATCATGACGAATCCATCAATAAAATGTATTGCCTCGTACTGTAGGGGTTATAATTTACAAATTAGGCTATTTATATTCTGAAGAAAACAAATAAAACAATATTACTTTTTGAGGGGGTGGAGAGGGGTAAGGGAACATGGGAATGAGGGAGCGGGAAGAAGGAGTCAGGGGCGGGAAAAGGCGTTATTGGGTCTGTTCTCTCCCAAAACACATTCACACCCTACAAGTTCACCCCCTGGGTTAGTTCGCACCCTATTTTTTTTATTCAAATACATGTTGAATTATTAGATGTATTTTCAGATATCAATAGATCTATATTTTCATGAATAAAAGTTCGTGATCTTTTTAAATGAAATATTTTTTTGGGTGATTATATAAATTACATGATTAATTATTATAAACGTTAATTACTTATGATTACTATATATAACTAATTGATAATTTACAAAGCTAATAAGGTATTATTGTCATGTGTATGAAAATTATGATTGCTGTTATAACTAGCTTTGGTGTAAAGTGAAAACAAAAGTAACTAGTTTGGTAGGAGTAAAAGTAATAGATTTTAAATAGAAAAGTTCAGAAAACATGAAAGATAATTGTTTTTAACAGCCTGTGCCCTTTGATCTCGTGTTTGTCAATTTATTTTTAAACAATAAAAAAACTTAATATCTTTATTTTATAGTAATACACTAACTAAAAGCATGATTAACAAAATTATTCAAAACATTACTTTTAAAAAGGGTGAATACAGACCCAGAGTGCGAACGTGTGGGTTGCGAATGTGAAAGGGGTTGAACATGAACATGGTGAATGGGAGCAAACATGATTTTGGGTGAAAGGACCAGGATTCGAAAAGGGGGGGGGATGAATATTCTGGGAAATATAGGGGATGGAAGTCGAAGTATGGGGAGGAAATTTTAGAGTAGAGGGGAAGGGAAATAGTTGGGCATAGGTAAGTGGGAATCAGGGACCACTGTCTGAGTGTAGTTATGGGGTACCCCCCATGAGGAATGTTGGTAAAATATTTGTTAGAATAATGTTACTCCATATTTTACTCCATTTGACCAAGGATTTGTATAGTACTATACAAATCCTTGATTTGACACTAACGGTAGCTACGAAATTAGATTTGACGAAAGATGATATAAAATTAAGGCTCTTGATTTTGACGCTAACGGTAGCGCAAAAATGACATTTGACGCTTGACAGTAAAGGGCATTCCTACCCTCCTGTCCCGGCATCCCCTCCTCTTTCACACGGATATTTTCCCCAACAGGTTATACATGTTCACAAATTGCCGGTTAAAGGTAAAATAAACACATAAGAAAGATACCAGCCATAACGATTATACTTGGAACAAAAATTTAGCCCATGCAAGGTTTCAGCCGCAAAGATTTTCTACAGTAGCGAGTATTTTGAGACAACCCCCCACTTTGTATTTTTTGTGATACTGATAACATTTGGCTGCCTAAAATATTGAAATCTTTGTTTTCTTATGTAATGACTCTACCTTCATTGTTGTCTATTCCCCACTATGTCTGTTATTCATGTACATGGTTGTATTCATCAGAATTGTATGCTGCTCAACAATGGCGACCCTGAAATTTCTGTTGTCCGATGATGGCGCCAAATTAGAGGGAAACAACTTGCGCCTGACAAAATTACCGTATTTCATTACAAACAATTATATATTCAGATAATGTCCATTGATATAATTGCAAACATTATTTTATTAAAGTGATCAATAAAGAATTCACAACAAAGTAATTTTTTGGGGTGCATTGAAATCAGACCTCATGGGGTAGAGGGGTAAACCAAAAGTCCATAACTTTTTTAAAAGCCTGGTGACCCCCATTTTATTTTACCTTAAAATACTTGAAAAGTTCAAAGCTTTGACAATATCCGTTTTTAAAAAAAATCTACTGGGGAAATTTGACGAAAAATTGATTTAATCAATATTTTTAGCCTTAAACTGAAATTAGAAAATGCAAAATTTAGACGTAAATCTGACAATAAAAGGATTTTTAAGTTTAAAACAACCAATGGAAATGTTAACATTTCAAATTTTAATGTTTTTTCACATAATAATCATACTGACTTGGTTCTAAAAGTCTTTGAATTTGATGTAGCCGTTATTGTTGAAAGGCTGGAAATGTTTGGAAATAGGGTCAAAATCGCACATTTCGCTTCCATTTGAGGGAAAAACGAGCCTTATGACCCCCTTTTTTCTTTGCATTTTTGGATTCAGCATAAAAAGATCTACTAAATATGTCAAAATTCAAAAATTCTACCGGGGGTCCTTATTGGGGTGAGCCACCTTATATGACAATTTTGACTCTTTTTTGTGTTTTTGACAAAAACTTGAGAAGATAGAAACTGTAAACAGCAAAAATTGTCCGCAATACAGGTTCAACAAAAAAAGAGATTTTAGTAATGAATAATATTCTAGTCTAAAATGTTGGGGAGTGTCCATTGATGAAGATGCACATAGACCTTGGTCAGCTACACTGGCTCTTTAGAGCCTCTAGTTTAAGTTTTCATGGATTCCAAATTACACGCTTTTGAATAAAAATCAGGTATTCCTAAATCAGTAACTTTTAACTTTAATGATCTTGTAGATCTTGACTTACAAATGAACTTATGTACAAGATGAGATAGAACAAGATGTTTATTCTTCAAAAATTTTTTGAAAAGAAGAAATTCATAAACTTTGATTACCCAATTTCCAGTCTGCTTGTTGAGATTTAAAAGTCACTACAAAAACTGAATTAGCCATTTTTATTGTTGCAGACGTCATACACTAACATATGTACCAGAGACGGGGAGAATTTACTCATTTGGATCTGGCTCTTGTGGACAGTTAGGTTTAGGAAACACAGATAAGAAAACCAGCCCAATGCTTGTGCCTTGTCCTTTCATGTCTTCCATCAATAGCAGATCACCAAGAGCTATGGAAATAGATGGCACATCTCATATTGTCAGCAGAATCTTCTCTGGTGGAAACAAATGTATTGTGCTGGCAAATAAAATTAATTCTCAGGTAATACTTTGTGAGGGATACATTTTATGAGAGGGATTGTATGGTAACAATCCTATACATAAATAGACATAAGTCATATCAAAATATAAATTCAAAGTGACCGTATGCTTAAAATAACATCCTGCAGTTATACTTATGAGATGAGTAGATGATCATGTGTATCCTTAAAATACTTCCTGTATTTGTGATAAGTTGTCATTGTTCAATACCTACCAGAAGATAACATCTCCCAAAATGATAGCTGATTTCTATCAACTATAGTGCTGCATTTGTTTGCACCTGTCCTAAGTCAGGAATCTGCGCGATGTTCAGTAGTTGTCGTATGTTGATGTGGTTCATAAGTGTTTCTCGTTTCTCGTTTTTTATATAGATTAGACCGTTGGTTTTCCCGTTTGAATGGTTTTACACTAGTAATTTTTGGGGCCCTTTATAGCTTGCTGTTCGGTGTGAGCCAAGGCTCCGTGTTGAAGGCCGTACTTTGACCTATAATGGTTTACTTTTATAAATTTTGACTTGGATGGAGAGTTGTCTCATTGGCACTCATACCACATCTTCTTATATCTAATTAAGACTAGTTAAAAGCAATGATAGGTGGTGTTGCCATAGCAGTTAGAGGGAAAATTATAGATTCCAGCCCAGCTGGGGAGGAATTTAAGAATAAGATCTTCTCTAACATTGTTAGGTTGATTTTCTTGGCACTATTTATATATATTAATGTCCTTCATCAGTATGAGCAGCCTGGTGTAAAAAAAAGATTGAAAGTTTTAGTATTCTATAATCTTTTGAACTAGATACAAATTAAGTATTTACAACCGTCGGGAGTGCATAGTTATATATTAAAAATGAAGTAACACATCTAGTACTGCTTGATTATAACTTCCTCCTTTCATTGATCCCATTTGGTGCCAATGTTTGCAACTTTCGTATCCAAAATCTTTCCCGAGTGACTCTCTCCTCTGCACCATGAAGTGTAAAGATGTTTAATTTTATTTATTAACTGTGTACAGTCTCTTCTCCATAACAATCCGACACCCTTGTAAGAGTTATTGTTGACTTATGTCTAGACCTTCTGTTTATATATAGATTACTGAACAAAGTAATTTTAACACTATTTGGTATGTAAATATGTAAAATATTTGCAATGAATGTGATGAAAAATGAACACAATGAATATGATGAAAAATAAACGCAATATTGTGCAAGACCAACTAGTTTCATCAGGTGATTAGAGATAGTGAAATTAACCCTTTCGTACGGAATGTATCCTTTTGGCACCCTCCTGCGCATGCCGAAATTATCCTTTAGGCACACTGGTGTAGAGGCAGAAATTATCCTTAAGGATACATAAGTTTCTATTTTAAGACCATCACAATGCAAACAGAAAAATTAACATTCTAACGAATTTCTTGACCCAGTTGATCTATGAATAGTATAATAAACACTAAATGCATTCCATATATTCGTATCGGGCGTAAATACACTGTCAAACACAAAGTTTTTTCAAAGAATGTTGAGAGAAAAAAACTTGTGACATAAAAAAATGGTGGAATCGAAAACAATCGCTGTCATGTGTTTCATTTAGAGTTAAAACATTTAGAAAACTTAACCTGTGGTCATGAACATGTTTTACCACGCCACATTCTTTATGTGCCTGTCCCAAGTCAGGAGCCTGTAGTTCAATGGTTGTCGTTGGTTCATGTCTGTCATATTTGTTTTTCGTAAATTGTTTTGTTATAAATTAGGCCGTTATTTTTCTCAATTGAATTGTTTCATATTTTTCATGTTGAGGCCTTTTATAGCCGACTATATGGTATGTGTTTTTCTCATTGTTGAAGGCTGTACAGTTGCCAAAAGGATACATTCCGTATGAACAGGCAATCAATTTTTTTGATTGGTCTTTGATATTTTATTGAAACGTTTGGTTTAAGAGAGCAGGGATAGGGTGGGGAGTAAAGGAAGCACTGCAGGCCTTGAAGATTTTGTGAAAGAAACCAAATTCTGATACTGATTTTTGTTGCAGAATGCGAGACATAGGGATTACAATCGTGCAGCGGTGGTGGCGAACGGCATTAACTATTTGTTTAAAGCTTTATATTTCAGAAGGTAGAAGACCTGGAATGGATTCCTTATACCTTGTATACAGATACCTTATGTAACAAGGTTTCTGTCTGTCATATGTCCATTGTCCTTAACCTCATTTTCATGGTTCAGTGACTGATTGAAAAAAAATTACAGTTTTTTTTGTAGAGTGAAATTCTCACTTATTATGAGTAATAGGATAACTATATTTGGTATATGGGTTCCTTGTTAGGTCTACATGACCATCAGGTAGGGTTCATCTGACCTCGACATCATTTTATGGATCAGTGATCGGGGTTAAAGTTACTTGTCTAAGATACTATAAGCATTAGGTCAACTATATTTGGTGTATGGATTGATTGTATGGTGTACATGTCTGAGGGGCAGGTTTCATCTGATCTTGAATTTCAGGGTTCATTGGAAAATATTTAGTTTTTGTGGTTTGGTCTATTTCTCAGATACTATAAGTAAAATGGCCAACATTTTTGGTGTATAGAATGATTGTAAGGTGTACATGTCTATCTGGCAGGTTTCATCTAACCTTGACCTCATTTTCATGGTTCATTAGTCAATGATAAATTTTTTGTAATTTTGTAAGTTTATCAGATACTGTAAGCAATAGGTCAACTATATTTGGTGTATGGAATAATTGTAAGGTGTACATGTCTGTCTGGCAGGGTTTATATGACCTTGACTTCATTTTCATGGTTCATTGGTCAATGTTAAGATTTTATGGTTTGGTCTGTTTCTCATGTACTAAACAATAGGACCACCTTATTTGGTGTATGGAATGATTGTAAGGTGAACACAACCTTACTTTGACCTATACTGGTTTACTTTTACAAATTGTGACTTGGATGGAGAGTTGTCTCATTGGCACTCATACCACATCTTCTTATATCTATGTCTGTATGGCATGTTTCATCTGACTGCGACCTCATTTTCATAGTTTTTGTGATACTTGTAGTAAAACCTTCATATTACAGACTTTCAACAGGAATTCAATAAGTCTAACAGGCGAGACATTTCAGCGTGTGCACTCTTATTATTTAATTAACTAATGTGATCCTGGTACTGATGAAAAAATAATTTATTCTCCTAAAATACATGGAATGATCTTGAAAAGCTTGAAAATAAGTTCATTGTTTCTAGAAATAAGGGGATATAGAAATACTGGGTGTACATTTGTCTGTCCCTATCAGGTCTTGTCTAAGACGATTACAAAAGCAGTGCCAATCAACTATTTTTAAAGGAGTTATGCCTCTTTGAAATAAAAATTATATTGAAAATTGCATTGTTAGTGAGCACACTAAATCCTCAATTTCTTGAAGTATTTTTAACTGGTTTTTCGAAGGAAATATCAGTTATTGATTTGGGGATGTACCGCGGGCGGGCTGGCGGGCGGATCGGCGGCTGCCAAACAGTGTCTCCTCAATAACATGAAAATGCTGTGACAATTTTTTTTCAAATTTACATATGTTGTTACCTGTGACTAAATGAAGGTCAAGTTCAATTATCACGATTTTAGCTTTTCTCTTTGTTGAGTTATCGCCCTTTTTAATATCCAAAAATGGTATTTTTAATGTGATTGAGTTATTTCTCTTTGAACAGAAATGGTTAATTATATATATAAAGTTTGATTACACTAACATGACTAATTTTCACTTGTTGATAGATAAGAGCATCTAGAGCGTGTGCACTCTTATTATTTAATTAACTAATGTGATCCTGGTACTGATGAAAAAATAATTTATTCTCCTAAAATACATGGAATGATCTTGAAAAGCTTGAAAATAAGTTCATTGTTTCTAGAAATAAGGGGATATAGAAATACTGGGTGTACATTTGTCTGTCCCTATCAGGTCTTGTCTAAGACGATTACAAAAGCAGTGCCAATCAACTATTTTTAAAGGAGTTATGCCTCTTTGAAATAAAAATTATATTGAAAATTGCATTGTTAGTGAGCACACTAAATCCTCAATTTCTTGAAGTATTTTTAACTGGTTTTTCTTGGGAAATATCAGTTATTGATTTGGGGATGTACCGCGGGCGGGCTGGCGGGCGGATCGGCGGCTGCCAAACAGTGTCTCCTCAATAACATGAAAATGCTGTGACAATTTTTTTTCAAATTTACATATGTTGTTACCTGTGACTAAATGAAGGTCAAGTTCAATTATCACGATTTTAGCTTTTCTCTTTGTTGAGTTATCGCCCTTTTTAATATCCAAAAATGGTATTTTTAATGTGATTGAGTTATTTCTCTTTGAACAGAAATGGTTAATTATATATATAAAGTTTGATTACACTAACATGACTAATTTTCACTTGTTGATAGATAAGAGCATCTAGTAAATGTCTCACACAATTATAAATGGATTGACAGATTTATTTGAAAATTTTCTGTTTTCTAAGTGTTGATGATTATAAGCTATATAGGACTGTATAAATAAAGTTAGAAGTTTACTGTTCATTATTTGACATTTTGAAGATAATTACAGATAAATTTTATAGATTTTTAAAAGACATTGTATTAATGATAAATAAAATTTTGATTTTTTATACCCCTGCTTTAAAAAAGTGGGGGTATACTGTTTTACCTCTGTCTGTCCTTCCGTCAGTTCATCCATTCATCCATCCGTCAGTCCGTCCGTCCCATGAATATTTTCGTCGCATTTTTCTCAGGAACTACTTCACAAGGATTTCTGAAATTTGGTTTCAGGGTTTATATAAGTAAGTTACACCGTGTGATGCGTTTTCAGATTCATTACTGAACAATTTCCTGTTTACTGAACTCTTGTATTATTTTACACATGATAGCCAAATTGAAAATTTTCGTCACATTTTTCTCAAGAACTACTTGACAAGGATTTCTGAAATTTGGTTTCAGGGTTTATATAAGTAAGTTACACCGTGTGATGCGT